GGCTGACATCCTTGTCTATGTCGGATATGAGGATGAGGAACAAGATGGGGGCGAGTACTGTGCCTTGTGGAACAGAGCTTTTCACCGTAGCTGCCTCGGACTTTACTCTGTTGACGACTACTCTCTGTGTTCTGTTAGTGAGGAAATTATAGATCCAACGACCGACTTTTCCTGTTATTCCTTAGCACGCATTTTGTGCGCTATTACGCCATGGTCACACTTGTCGAAGGCTTTTGCAAAGTCTGTATATATTACATCTGCATTCTTTTTGTCTTCCAATGCATTTAGGACCTTGTCGTAGTGATCCAATAGTTGAGACAGACAGGAGCGACCTGTTCAAACCCATGTTGCCCTGGGTTGTGTAACTGATGGGTTTCTAGATGGGTGGTGATCTTGCTTCTAGGACCCTTTCAAAGATTTTTATGATATGGGATGTTAGTGCTATTGGTCTGTAGTTCTTTGCTGTTGCTTTACTGCCCCCTTTGTGGAGTGGGGCTATGTCTGTTGTTTTTAGTAACTGTGGGAGGACCCCCGTGTCCATGCTCCCTCTCCATAGATGGAAAAGGCTCGTGATAGGGGCTTCTGCAGTTCTTGATGAACACAGAGTTCCATAAGTCTGGCCCTGGGGCAGAGTGCATGGGCATGTCATTTATCGCCTGTTCGAAGTCATTTGGCGTCAGGATAACATCGGATAGGCTTGTGTTAATCAGATTTTGTGGCTCACTCATAAAAAAATAATTTTGATCTTCGACTCTCAGTCTGGTTAGCGGCTTTGCTAAAAACTGAGTCATATGGGACTTGAGTAGCTCACTCATTTCCTTGCTGTCATCTGTGTAGGACCCATCTTGTTTAAGTAGGGGCCCAATACTGGACGTTGTTCTCGATTTTGATTTGGCATAGGAGAAGAATACTTTGGGTTTCTTTCGATTTCATTTATGGCTTTTAGTTCTTCCCGCGATTCCTGACTCCTAAAGGATTCTTTTAGCTTAAGTTCGATGCTTGCTATTTCTCTGACCAGTGTCTCCCCTACGCATTTCAGATATATTGACCTCTTTTAGCCGCTCTGTTATTCTTTTCCGTCGCCTGTAAAGGGAGCGCCTGTCTCTTTCTATTTTACATCTACTCCTCCCTTTTTCTTAGAGGAATAAGCCTTGTGCATACATCGAGTGCCACCGAGTTAATCTGTTCTAGGCATAAGTTGGGGTCTGTGTTGCTTAGTATATCTTCCCAGCTTATATCGGTTAGGACTTGGTTTACTTGGTCCCACTTTATGTTTTTGTTATTGAAGTTGAATTTGGCGAATGCTCCCTCGTGACTAATCTCATTATGTCGGTCTGGGGCTCCACCCATACATGTCTGAACCTCTATTATGTTGTGATCTGAGTATATTGTTTTTGATATGGTGACATTTCTTATCAGATCATCATTGTTAGTGAAGATGAGGTCTAGTGTATTCTCCAGTCTAGTAGGCTCTATTATTTGCTGGTTTAAATTGAATTTTGTGCAGAGATTTAAAAGCTCGTGTGAATGTGAGTTTTCATCAGAGCTGCCTCCTGGTGTTATTACTGCAACAATATTATTTGCTATATTCCTCCATTTTAGGTGCCTTAAGTTGTCTTCAAGACCCCTGGCTGTCTTCAAGACCCCTGGTTGTCTTCAAGATCCCTGGTTGTCTTCAAGACCCCTGGTTGTCTTCAAGACACCTGGTTGTCTTCAAGACCCCTGGTTGTCTTCAAGACACCTGCTTGCCTTCAAGACACCTGGTTGTCTTCGAGACACCTGACTGTCTTCAAGACACCTGGTTGTCTTCAAGACACCTGGTTGTCTTCAAGACCCCTGGTTGTCTTCAAGACACCTGGTTGTCTTCAAGACCCCTGGTTGTCTTCAAGACCCCTGGTTGCCTTCAAGAAACCTGGTTGTCTTCAAAACACCCTGGTTGCCTTCAAGACCCCTGGTTGTCTTCAAGATCCCTGGTTGTCTTAAAGGCACCTGGTTGTCTTCAAGACCCCTGGTTGTCTTCAAGACACCTGGTTGTCTTCAAGACCCCTGGTTGTCTTCAAGACCCCTGGTTGCCTTCAAGAAACCTGGTTGTCTTCAAAACACCCTGGTTGTCTTCAAGATCCCTGGTTGTCTTCAAGATCCCTGGTTGTCTTAAAGGCACCTGGTTGTCTTCAAGACACCTGGTTGTCTTCAAGACCCCTGGTTGTCTTCAAGACCCCTGGTTGTCTTCAAGACCCCTGGCTGTCTTCAGGAAGGGGCTGGACAGGCACCTAAAGTCAGTACCTAACCAGCCGAGCTGTGGTTCCTACTTTGGTGTACGTGAGGCCAACAGTAACAACCTGGCTGAACAGGCCCTGACAACTACCAACAATCACCCCCACCAACGATTACCCCGCCTCCCTCACCAATAATCGCCCCACCTTTGCCACCAACAATCACTCCAGCCTCCCAACCAAAAATCACCCCAACTTCCCCACAAATAATCACCCCCTCCCAACCAACAGCCACCCCTCCTCTCCCCACAACAATAACCCTTCCCCTTTCCACAACAATCACCCCTCTCCTTCCCACAGCAATCACCCTCACCCCTACAAACACCCTCCCCCCCCACAACAATCACCACTACCCACACACAACAATCACCCCTCCCCACAACAATCACCTCTCCCTCTCAACAATCTCCCCTCCCTCCCCTCCCAACAACAATGATTCCTCCCTTCCACAACAATCACTCCTCCAAACAACAATCTCAACCTTCCCTCCCCACAACAATCACCTCTCCCTCTCAACAATCACCCCTCCCTCCCCTCCCAACAACAATGATTCCTCCCTTAACCACAACAATCACATCCTCCAAACAACAATCACCAACCCCCCTCCCACAATAATCACCCCTCCCTCCCCCACAACAATCACTTCTCCCACCCCTCCCCACAACAATCACCCCTCCCTCCCCACAACATCACCCTCCCTCCCCACAACAATCACCCCACCCCTCCCCACAACAATCATCCCTCCCTCCCCACAACAATCACCCTCCCCTCCCCCAACAATCACCCCTCCCTCCCCCACAACAATCACCCCTCCCTTCCCACAACAATCACCCACCCTCCCTCCCCACAACAACACCCCTCCCCCTCCCCACACCAAAACACCCCACCCCTCCCCACAACAATCACCCCACCTCTCCCCACAACAATCACCCCTCCCCCCCCCACAACAATCACCTCTCCCTCCCCACAACAATCACCCCTCCCTCCCCACAACAATCACCCCACCCCTCCCCACAAAAATCACCCCTCCCTCCCCACAACAATCACCCTCCCCTCCCCACAACAATCACCCCTCCCTCCCCACAACAATCACCCCTCCCCTTCCACAACAATCACCCCTCCCCTCAACAATCACCCCTCCCCCTCCACACAACAATCACCCCTCCCCTCCCCAACAATCACCCCTTCCCCACAACAATCACCCCTCCCCTCAACAATCACCCCTCCCCCACAACAATCACCCCTCCCCTCCCCACAACAATCACCCCTCCCCACAACAATCACCCTCTCCCCCAACAATCACACCCCTCCCCACAACAATCACCCCTCCCTCCCCACAACAATCACCCCTCCCCACAACAATCACCCCTCCCCTCAACAATCAAACATCCCCTTCCCATCCCTACAACAATCACCCCTCCCTCCCCCACAAAATCACCCCCCTCCCCACAACAATCACACCCTCCCCTCCCCACAACAATCACCCCTCCCCACAACAATCACCCCCCTACACATCACATCCTCCCTCTCACAACAATCACTCCCTCCCCCTCCCACAACAATCACCCTCCCCTCCCCACAACAATCACCCCTCCCCCAACAATCAACCCCTCCTCCAACATCCCCTACAACAATCACCCTCCCTCCCCCAACAATCACCCCTCCCCTCCCACAACAATTACCTCCCTCACCTCCCCTACAACAATCACCCCTCCCCTCCCACAACATCACCCCTCCCCTCCCCACAACAATCACCCCTCCCCTCCCCACAACAATCACCCCTCCCCTCCCCACAACAATCACCCCTCCCCTCCCCACACAATCACCCCTCCCCTCCCCACAACAATCACCCCTCCCCTCCCCACAACAATCACCCCTCCCCTCCCCACAACAATCACCCTCCCCTCCCCAACAATAACCCTCCCTCCCCACAACAATCACCCCTCCCCTCACAATCACCCTCCCCCACACAGAATCACCCCTTCCTTACCCACAACAATCACCCCTCCCCTCCCCACAAACAATCACTCCTCCCCTCAAGCAATCACCCCTCCCCCACAACAATCACCCCTCCCCTCCCCACAGCAATCACCCCTCCCCTCAACAATCACCATCCCCTCCCCACAACAATCACCCCTCCGCTCCCCACAACAATCACCCCTCCGCTCCCCACAATTACCCCTCCCCTCCCCACAACAATCACCCCTCTCCACAACATCACCCCTCCCTCCCACAACAATCACCCCTCTCCTCTCCACAACAATCACCCATTCCCCTCCCCACAACAATCACCCTCCCCTCCCCACAACAATCACCCCTCCCCTCTCCCACAACAATCACCCCTCCCCTCCCCACAACAATCACCCCTTCCCTCCCCACAACAATCACCCCTCCCCACAACAATCACCCCTTCCCTCCCACAACAATCACCCCTCCCCTCACCAACAATCACCCCTCCCCTCCCTACAACAATCACCCCTCCCCTCCCCACAACAATCACCCCTTCCCCTCCCCACAACAATCACCCCTCCCCTCCCCTCCCTACCACAGAAAACGTACTGACCCAACAATTGTTTTAATTGATAATGATATAATGATCAATTACGGACCATAGACAGCCTCCAGGAGGCTGATATATGAAACCCAGAGAGATGGGTTGTTGGTAGTGGGTCCAGGGTGGGTTAATGGGTTGTGCGGGTCTGGGTTTGTCCACGGTGGTGGGTTTTTTGCGGTGGGTTGAGGTGGGTTAGTATGTGTGCGCGTCAGCCATTTTGTTCCCCCGTGAGTCTTTGTTGTATGGCGGTGATGTGCTGTTATATTTGTGAATTATAGGCGATAGAGTGCGTCTAGCGCTGAGATCTATGTCATTTGGGAAATTAGAGATTATAGCGATTGTCTGGGAAATCTAAGGATGTGTTTGGGGGTGTTTTAAGGTGCGAAAACAGGGGGAGAAGTGCAGCTGGCAGTGGTACGCGTTCTTACGGGTAAGTACACCCCATCCTCCTGTCTTATTTCTATTTTAAGCCTCTATTTTAACCCTCTATAACCCACTTCCTTGATTATAGACGAGAATATGAGTTGCTTTTGATTTCTAGCGGCTTGCTGGCGTGTTGGAATTTGATTTTGTACTTCAAAATAGGACAAGATTAGAAGGGAGGGAATTGTGTCGACCAAAAATGGCGTCGCGTGCTTATGTTTTTAATGTATTTTCTGCGTCCGCCAGCGTATTGCTTCGTTATATTCGTCTTATAACGTAAATTAACGTTGTGGAGGACGGTTGTGTCGTTATAATCGTTAAATAGTTCGTTGTAAGCGCTGGGGCGGACATCCGGACCTTCTTATCCCATATTTAAAGCGATTTTAGTGGGTATTTCGTTGCAATATCAAGGTGTTGGCTTGCTAGAGTGTGCTGTTGCAGGTTGCAGAGGTTGCAAGGTGGGGGAAATTGGTGTAAATGGGCGAAAATGCTATTTTTGCGATGTTTCTGTCATCGATTTGAAGGTGTAGTGTGTGTGGTGAGTAAATGGCGGGAATGTTTGGTCTGTTTTCTGTCTTATTTGGCTTATTTAAGGGTGTTTGTGGGTGTGGTGGGGTGTTGTGGGTGTTGTGGGTGTGTGGGGGGAGGTGTGGGGTGGGTGTATCATGGGTTTTTACACAAATATTAAGTGTGTGACCCATGCTGGTTGACCCATCAGTTCAAACATTATGGAAACCCGGACCAAACATTGTGAAAGTTCTCATATTTAACCCTCTCCCGCCTTTAAAACAATGATAAAACCTCTTATCTTCACATCTAAGTTTTCAAAACCATTGAAACCATCATCACGCCATGCAAAACCCATTTAAAAACCGCTAATAGGGGTAAAATATCAATTTATTACTGAACATTTGACTTCAGAAATGGGACTAGTTAGTTACGCGCCATATTTATTTTTTTTTAGATATTTGGCGCCAAATTCAAGTAGCTGGAGTCTTATATATATATTTTTAAAGCGGTGTTTACTGTAGTGTATTTTGAGGACCTGTGTGAAAGGTTGTTGTGTGTATTATGCAGTGTTTACTGTAGTGTTTAACTGGTTATTTGGCGCGCGCGCGCGCGCACACACAACACAACACACACACACACACACACACACACACACACACACACACACACACACACACACACACACACACACACACACACACACACACACACACACACACACACACCAGCAATAACAACTACAACAACAGACCTCAATTAGCAGTTTGTAAATAAGACTTGGCAACATCAACAACAGTACAACAGACCTCAACAGTATGTACAACAACAAACCTCAATAACAGTATGTGAACAAGACGTAACAACAACAACAGTACTCCAACAACAGACCTCAATAACAGTATGTGAACAAGACGTAACAACAGTACTCCAACAACAGACCTCAATAACAGTATGTGAACAAGACGTAACAACAGCAACAACAGTACTCCAACAACAGACCTCAATAACAGTATGTGAACAAGACGTAACAACAGCAACAACAGTACTCCAACAACAGACCTCAATAACAGATATGTAACAAAACGTAACAACAGCAACAACAGTACTCCAACAACAGACCTCAATAACAGTATGTGAACAAGACGTAACAACAGTGACTACCACAACAACAGTACTACAACTACACACCTCAATAACAGTATGTAAATAAGACCTAACAACAGTACTACAACAACAGACCTCAATAACAGTATGTAAGACCTAACAACAGTACTACAACAACAGACCTCAACAGTATGTAAGACCTAACAACAGCAACAATAGACCTCAATAACAGTATGTAAACAAGACCCAACAACAGTACTACAACAACAGACCTCAATAACAGTATGTAAGACCTAACAACAACAACAACAGTACTACAACAACAGACCTCAATAACAGTATGTAAATAAGACCCAACAACAACAACAACAGTACTACAACAACAGACCCCAATAACAGTATGTAAGACCTAACAACAACAACAACAGTACTACAACAACAGACCCCAATAACAGTATGTAAGACCTAACAACAAAACAACAGTACACAACAATCAGACCTCAATAACAGTATGTAAACAAGACCCAACAACAGTACTACAACAACAGACCTCAATAACAGTATGTAAGACCTAACAACAACAAACAGTACTACAACAACAGACCCAATAACAGTATGTAATAACCAACAACAACAACAACAACAGTACAACAACAGACCCCAATAACAGTATGTAAGACCTAACAACAACAACAACAGTACTACAACAACAGACCCAATAACAGTATGTAAGACCTACAACACAACAAAGACCTCAAAACAGTATGCTAAACAAGACCCAACAACAGTACTACAACAACAAGACCTCAATAACAGTATGTAAACAAGACCCAACAACAGTACTGCAACAACAGACCTCAATAACAGTATGTAAGACCTAACAACAACAACAACAGTACTACAACAACAGACCTCAATAACAGTATGTAAATAAGACCCAACAACAACAACAACAGTACTACAACAACAGACCCCAATAACAGTATGTAAGACCTAACAACAATAACAACAGTACTACAACAACAGACCTCAAATAACAGTATGTAAATAAGACCCAACAACAACAACAGTACTACAACATACAGACCCCAATAACAGTATGTAAGACCTAACAACAACAACAGTACTACAACAACAGACCTCAATAACAGTATGTAAACAAGACCCAACAACAACAACAACAACAGTACTACAACAGACCTCAATAACAGTATATAAATAAGACGTAACTACAGCAACAACAGTACAACAGACTTCAATAACAGTATGTAAACAAGACGTAGCAACAGGAACTACAACAACAGACCTCAATAACAGTATGTGAAAAAGACGTAACAACAGCAACTACAGCAACAACAGTTCTACAACAACAGACCTCAATAACAGTATGTAAATAAGACGTAACAACAGCAACAACAGTACTACAACAACAGACCTCAATAACAGTATGTAAACAAGACTAAACCAACAACATGCTACAACAGACCTCAATAACAGTATGTAAAAAGACGTAAACACAACTAGTACAAATACAGCAACAGACCTCATAACAGTATGTAACAAAGACATAACAACGCAACAACAGTACTACAAACAGACCTCAATAACAGTAGTAATAAAAAACAGTTAACTAACAAATACAAGCCTAATCAACAGTTATTTACAGCAAAAATATACAACGGCAACAACAGTATACAATGCAGACACCTATACTTTCAACCTAACAAATCTGACTCTGTCATGAACCATCAGACTATGGTTACGACTTAGGCTTTACAAGTATCTGCAGTTTACTGACTGTGAGTTAGATCATAGGCTGTTACAATACTTCGACATTAAGACTGATTTGTAGCCTGACTTAGGCTTGGTACAAGTACTCTGATTTAGCAGACTGAGTTGTAGCCGACTTAGGCTTGGTTACAGTACTTCTGACAGTTTGACAGACTGATGTTGTAGCCTGACTTAGCTTGGTTGCAAGTACTTCTGACATTTTACAGACTGATTTGTAGCCTACTTAGGCTTGTTACAATACTTCTGCAGTTTGACGACTGATGTTGTAAACTTACTTAGCTTGGTTACAAGTACTTCTGACAATTTTACAGACTGGGTGTTGTAGCCTGACTTAGCTGGTTACAAGTACTTCTGACAGTTTGACAGACTGATGTTGTAGCCTGACTTAGGCTTGGTTACAAGTACTTCTGACAGTTTGACAGACTGATGTTGTAGCCTGACTTAGGCTTGGTTACAAGTACTTCTGACAGTTTGACTGATGTTGTAGCCTGACTTAGGCTTGGTTACAAGTACTTCTGACAGTTTGACAGACTGACTGATGTTGTAGCCTGACTTAGGCTTGGTTACAAGTACTTCTGACAGTTTGACAGACTGATGTTGTAGCCTGACTTAGGCTTGGTTACAAGTACTTCTGACAGTTTGACAGACTGATGTTGTAGCCTGACTTAGGCTTGGTTACAAGTACTTCTGACAGTTTGACAGACTGATGTTGTAGCCTGACTTAGGCTTGGTTACAAGTACTTCTGACAGTTTGACTGACTGATGTTGTAGCCTGACTTAGGCTTGGTTACAAGTACTTCTGACAGTTTGACAGACTGACTGATGTTGTAGCCTGACTTAGGCTTGGTTACAAGTACTTCTGACAGTTTGACTGACTGATGTTGTAGCCTGACTTAGGCTTGGTTACAAGTACTTCTGACAGTTTGACAGACTGACTGATAATGTAGCCTGACCTAGGCTTGGTTACAAGTACTTCTGACAGTTTGACAGACTGATGTTGTAGCCTGACTTAGGCTTGGTTACAAGTACTTCTGACAGTTTGACAGACTGACTGATGATGTAGCCTGACTTAGGCTTGGTTACAAGTACTTCTGACAGTTTTGACAGACTGACTGATGTTGTAGCCTGACTTAGGCTTGGTTACAAGTACTTCTGACAGTTTGACAGACTGACTGATGATGTAGCCTGACTTAGGCTTGGTTACAAGTACTTCTGACAGTTTGACAGACTGACTGATGAAGTAGCCTGACTTAGGCTTGGTTACAAGTACTTCTGACAGTTTGACAGACTGACTGATGAAGTAGCCTGACTTAGGCTTGGTTACAAGTACTTCTGACAGTTTGACAGACTGACTGATGCTGTAGCCTGACTTAGGCTTGGTTACAAGTACTTCTGACAGTTTGACAGACTGACTGATGTTGTAGCCTGACTTAGGCTTGGTTACAAGTACTTCTGACAGTTTGACTGACTGATGTTGTAGCCTGACTTAGGCTTGGTTACAAGTACTTCTGACAGTTTGACTGACTGATGTTGTAGCCTGACTTAGGCTTGGTTACAAGTACTTCTGACAGTTTGACTGACTGACTGATGATGTAGCCTGAC